TTAAATCATGAATTCAATTGTCTGTGGGATTTAAAGTACGAATTCAATTGTCTGTGGGATTTTAAATTACTAATTCAATTGTCTGTGAAATTTAATGTTATGAAATTTGTGGTAGTGAGATTTAAGATTGTGAATAATTTGACATATTGGATTCAAGTTATGAATTCAATGGTCTGTTATTTAAAGTCATGTATTGAAGGGTCTGTGGGATTTATACTGATTAATTCAATGGTCTGTGGGATTTAAAATTATGAAATCAATGTTATCTAGAAATAAGAATTATAAATTAAGCGAGGACGTAAAGTTATGAATTAAATGGTCTACAGATTTTACAATCTTTAACATAATGGTCTGTGGGTTTCAAAATTCCAACCCAATGATTTGCGGGATTTAAAATTATTAATTCAATATTCTCTGGTGTTTAAAATTATGAATTGAGTGTTCTGTGAGTTTTAAAATTATTAATTGAGTTTGCTCGTGGGATTTAAAATTATAATTTGAATTATTCGTGGGATTTATAATTATTTGTTCAGGTGTCCGTGGCATTTAAAATTATGAATTGAGTGATTCGTGGGATTTAAAATTATAAAGTAGGAAGTCTCTAAGATTTAAAAGTATTCAATAATTGGTTATGTGAATTTAAAATTAGTTTTTGGCCTGCTGAATATAAAATTATAAATTTTAAGGTTCACTGAATTTAAAATCCTAAATTCAATGGCCCACTGAATTTAAAATGCGTTGTGACGACCGCTGAATTTAAAACGACGAATGGAGTGGGCTGTGGGATCGGAAAGCAAGCGAGAGCGAGAGCGTTGCTGGACCTGGAGTGGGTCTGGTGACGGCGGGAACTTCTCGTGTAAGTGTCAATAGGGTCGAGCGTGCGCTGTGCCATCATGCCCGCCGAGCTGCACCAGCTGCAGGCCAACTTGTTGGGCGCGGGATTTAAAATAAACGACTAGTCGACCGTTTGGTTTAAACTTATAAATTGATTGCTTCGTGGGGTTTAAAAATATTAATATAAAGCATCATAAATTCAACGGTCGGCGGGATTTAAAATTATTCCCAAAATTATTAATACTTAAATCAGTGGTTCTCAGCATTTAAAATTACGCATTCAGAAGTCCCTGAAATTTATAAGTATGTATTGAATGATACGCTGAATTTTAAATAATGAATTCAATGGTTCACTGAATTTAAAATAATTAATTCAATAACCCATTGAAATTAAAATGGTGAATTCAATGCATCGCTGAATTTAGAATTAATTCAATTCTTTCCTGAATTTAGAATGAATTCAATTCTTCCCTGAACTTAAAATGATGCTTTCAATGCTTCGCTGAATTTAAACTGATGCATTCATTTCGTCGTCAAATTTAAAATGATTAATTCAATGGTTTACTGAATTTAAAATGAATTCAATGTTTCGCTGAATTTACAATGATGAATTCAATGGTCCTTTGAATTCAAAATGAATAATTAAAAGTTCCGCTGGATTTGAAGCGCCGAGTGGAGCAGGGCGTGCGTGTGGAGTGGGATTGGGAGTGGGAGGAGGAGTGGGTATCGGGTGGCGCGTGAATCGATCGTGCGCGCCGCCAATATGCCTGCTGAACTGTGCTTGCTCCTGGCCGACGCACTGGGCATGGAATTTAAAATAAACGTTTGGGCCATTCTAGGGATTTCAAGTTATGAATTGAGTGGTCCGTGCGCTTTTAACCAATTAATACAATGAAATTTTAGTTCAGCGGCCTGGGGGATATAAAATTATCCCCAAAATTAATAATATTGAATCAGTGGTTTGCTACATTTAAAATTACGAATTCAGTGGTCCCTGAGGTTTATGATTACGTAGTATATTGAATGGTTCACTGTTTTTAAAAATACGAATTCAGTTCTTCGCTGAATTTAAAATGAATTCAGTTGTCCGCTGAATTTAAAACGATGCTTTCAATGCTTCGATGAATTTAAAACCATGCATTCAATTTGTCGTTAAATTTAAAATGAATAATTCAATGGTTCACTGAATTTAAAATCAATTCAGTTTCGTTGAATTTGAAATGAATTAAGTTTTGCTGAATTTAAAATAAATTCGGTTTCGTTGAATTTGAAATGAATTAAGTTTTGCTGAATTTAAAATAAATTCGGTTTCGTTGAATTTAAAATCAATTCAGTTTCGTTAAATTTAAAATGAATTCAGTTTCGATGAAATAAAAATAAATTCAGTTTCGCTGTGATAAAAATAAATTCAGTTTCGCTGAATTTGAAATAAATTCAGTTTTGTTGAATTTATAATGAATTCAGTTTCGCTGAATTTAAAATAAATTCAGTTTCGCTGAATTTAAAATAAATTCAGTTTCGCTGAAATAAAAATAAATTCAGTTTCGTTGAATTTAAAATCAATTCAGTTTCTCTGAAGTTAAAATAAATTCAGTTTCGCTGAAATTAAAATCAATTCAGGTTCGCTAAATTTAAAATCAATTCAGTTTCGTTGAATTTAAAATGAATTTAGTTTAGCTGAATTTAAAATCAATTCGGTTTCGCAGAATTTAAAATCAATTCGGTTTCATTGAATTTAAAATCGATTCAGTTTCGCTGAATTTAAAACAAATTCAGTTTCGCTGAATTTAAAACGAATGCAGTGTTCCGGTGGACGCGCAGCGCCGAGTCGAGCGGCGTGAGCGAGCGAGAGCTGACGCGGGCGTTGCAGGACCTGGAGGAGTGGGTGTCGGGCGGCGCCGGGGGCTTCGTGTACGTGTCGATGGGGTCGAGCGTGCGCGCCTCCAACATGCCCGCCGAGCTGCGCGTGCTGCTGGCCGACGCGCTGGGCCGCCTGCCCTTCCGCGTGCTGTGGAAGTGGGACGGCGGCGCGCCGGCGCCCGCCCACCTGCCGCCCAACGTGCGCACGGGCCACTGGTTCCCGCAGCAGGACCTCCTCGGTGAGCGAGCCCTCTCGCGCGGGGATGCGCCGGGCTGGGATTCGCTAGAGGGTCAATGCAGGATCCGGAGGATTTTCAAAGGTTTGCTAGGGTTTCAATACAGGGTTTGCTAGGTATTCAATGCATGGTTTGCTAGGTTTTCAATGCATGGTTTGTTAGGTTTTCAATGCAGGATTTGCTAAGTATTCAATGAAGGATTAGTTAGATAATCAATACAGGATTTGTTAGGTATTCAATGCAGGACTTACTGGACTTTCAATGCACTATTTGAAGGTTTTTCAAAGTGGGATTCGCGAGGTTTGCGAAGCAGGATTCGGTAGGTATTCAAAGGTTTGCTAGGTATTCAATGCATGATTTGCCAGGTAATCAATGCAGGATTTGCTAAATATTAAATGAAGGATTTTTTAGGTACTAAATGAAAGGTTTGCTAGGGTTTCAATACAGGGTTTGCTAGGTATTCAAAGCAGGGATTCGGTGTACGATTTTCATTAGCGGGATTGCGCAGGTTTGCGAAGCAGGATTCGCGTAGGTATTCAAAGGGTTTTGCTAGGTTCAATACACATTGCTAGGTTTGCAATGCATGGTTTACTGGTTTATCAATTGCAGGATTGGCTAAATATTTTCAATGAAGGATTTAGTTAGATAATCAATACAAGGATTTGTTAGGATTCAATGCAGGAATTACTGGACTTTCAATGCAGGGATTTAAGGTTTTTCCCAAAAGCGGGATTCGCGCAGGTTTGCGAAGCCAGGATTCGGGGTAGCGTAGTCAAAGTTTGCTAGGTATTCAATGCAGGATTTGCTAAATATTGAATGAAGGGATTTTTAGTACTAAATTGAAAGGTTTGCTAGGCGTTTCAATACAGGGTTTTGCTAGGTATTCAATGCAGGATTCGGACGCATTTTCATAGCCCGGGATTTGCGAGGTTGCGAAAAGGCAGATTTCGCGTAGGTATTCAAAGGTTTGCTAGGCGTATTTTGAATACCACGATTTGCTAGGTTTTCAATCATGGTTTAACGTAGGTTATTGAAGCAGGCATTGGCTAAATATTCAATTGGAAGGATATGTTAGATTAACAATACAGGATTTTTAAGCGTATCAATTGGAAAAGGAATTAACTGCGAACTTTCAATGCAGGATTTGAAGTTTTTCAAAAGCGGGATTCGCGCAGCGTTTGCGAAGCAGGATTCGGTAAGGTTAATCAAGGTTGCTTGGTTTCAAACAGGATTTGGTAGCGTTTTCAATGCATGTTTGCTAGGTTATCAATGGCAGGATTGGCTAATGTATTCAATGAAGGTGTGGCCGTCCGTTAACCACGAGGGCCAGAAAACCGTTAGTCGTTGCGGTGAAAGTACGCTGCGGGGAAGGAAGGTGTTAGCCGAACATCCCGGGAGTTGCGCTCGGGCGGTTGACTCAGGTAGTTGCCGCAGAGCCAAAAATACCGGAGGCCTGTAAACTCCGAGGATGCTGCGGCGAAGCCTCGTTTACGGAAGCAGGCAGCCCAACCTGCAGAACTCTTTGTGTGGCTATACGTAAACCAAAAGCTTGCCTGCGAGCCTCGCCGCCAGCCGGCGGGCCTATCTATGGAACATGGTGGAGGTGTCAGCCTTCAACTATTTAACTCGGCGCCATCTGCGCCCGAATCCGTTCTCATTCAGTTTGCATCGGAAGCTTGTACGGGTATGTACAAGGAGGGTGTAGGAGTGAGGGCGAGATGTCCGCGAGAGTAAGCGGCCAGACAATCCTCACGTGCTGTAGGCACACGGTCGCCACGACCGCGGTTTTAAAACTTTTGCGTCAGGCCATGTGACCGTAATTGGTCACGCGGACAGAGGTCCGACCGGCGCGGCATTCACGCGTGCTTGTGTTTCTGCGGAAGGCAGTGTCAGAAAGGAAAAGGTTGCCGGGAGTGTTTTAATATTAGCAATTCATTGTAACTAGTACATAATCTTTGAATATTATTATTTTTATTTTGTTATTGATATTCTATCTCTTATTTCACTACGTCACAGAAGGATTTTTAGTATTCAATGGAAAGATTTTTCTTGAATTTTCAATACAATAATTTGTTAGGTATTTCAGTGCCAGGCATTCGAATGTTTTTCAAAGCGGGATTCGCCGACGGTTTTCAAAGCAGGATTCGGTAGGTATTTTCAAAAGCGTTTGCTAGGGTTTCAGGGTTCGTAGGCTTCCGCGGCCGGAGGCCAATGCATTCTTGCTATCCGGATGAGCCGCGTCTCGGTTCATTTTGTAGTACAGCTCTGAAGAAGGCCACAGCAAGATGGTCGAAACGTCAGTACAATTGAGCAGTACGCAGGAGAGAGAGGTAGGCAGAGAGGGTAAGACAGATGGGCCGAGAGAAATAAATAGGTTGTGAGGAACCGTGATATAGGTAGAGGAGGAGAGAGTGTAGAGACGGCAAGAGCTCTCTCTCTCTCTCTCTCTCTCTCTCTCTCTCTCTCTCTCTCTCTTTCTCTCTATCTCTCTGTCTCTCTCTTTCTCTTTCTCTTTCTCTTTGTCTCTTTCTTTCTCTTTCTTTTTCTCTTTGTCTCTTTCTTTCTCACTCTTTCTCTCTCTTTCTCTCACTCTTTTCCTCTCTCTCTTTCCCTCTCTGTCTTTCTCTCTCTCTCCCTCTCTCTCTTTCTTTTTCTCTTTGTCTCTTTCTTTCTCTCTCTTTCTTTCTTTCTCTCTCTCTTTCTCTCTCTCCCTCCCTCTCTCTCTCCCTCTCTCTTTCCTCCCAACCTCTCTACCCAGTCATTTCTCTTATAATGTCCGCGCCGTCTTCCGACCCGCCCCCCTCTGTACCGCGCGTGTGTGTGTGTGTGTGTGGCGTGCAGGGCACCCGCGCATCCGCGCCTTCGTGACGCACGGCGGGCTGCTGTCGCTGCACGAGGCGGTGCACCACGCCGTGCCCGTGGTGGCGCTGCCGGTCTTCTGCGACCACGACGCCAACGCGGCCAAAGCGGCGGCCGACGGCTACGCGCTGCGCCTGGAGCTGCGCGCGCTGTCCGCGCAGCGCCTCGCCGACGCCGTGCAGCGCGCCGTGCGCGACCCCAGGTGCGCCAACCCACCAGCGACAATCAGAACTATAGCTGTGATTATGAATAGCGGGCGGATTTGTAATGGGCTAAAACATTGCTAGAAATGATAATAAAAAACTCTTAAATTGCCTCATAAATGCTCTAAAAACAAAGAAACATGACGTAAAAAGGTGAACTCAGCTTGCTAACATTTCGTTTCGACTGTTTTTTAAAAGAAAATCTCTGCTTTTACGTATCGCGATATTGGAAGATCTTATAACAGGTGCGCCAACCCTGCAGCGACAATAAGAATTTTTGTTGGAATTATGCACAGGGGGCGGATTTTTAATGGGCTAAAACATTGCTGGAAATGATAAAAAATGCTCTTCATTTGTTTTATAAATGTCTTAAAAACAAAGAAAAATGACGTAAATAAATTGAACAAAACCACTTCAGATGTGGTGTTTGGTATGTTACAATTTTTTTTTCAAGAGAACACAGCTTGCTAACATTTCGTTTCGACTGTTTTTTAAAAGAAAATCGCTGCCTTTACTTATCGCGAAATTGGCGGGCCTGATAACAGGTGCGCCAACACTACAGCGACGGCAATAATTATAGCTGTAATTATGAATAGGGGCCAATTTTTAATGAGCTAAAACACTGCCAGAAAGTATTAAAAAAGGTCTTAAATTCTGTATAAATGCCCTAAAAACAAAGAAACATGACGTAAATAAATTGAACAAAACCACTTTGGATGAGTTGTTTGGTATGATACAGAGGTTTCTTTTTTTTTTGTTCAAGTGAACTCAGCTTGCAAACCTTACGTTTCGACTGTTCTTTAAACGAAAATATTTGCCTTTACGTATCGCGAAATCGGCAGACCTGATAACAGATATGCCAACCCTGCAGCGACAATAAGAAGTATTGTTGGAATTATGAATAGGGGCGGATTTTTAATCTGCTAAAACACTGCCAGAAATGATCAAAAAATTATATTAAATGCTTTATAAATACCCTAAAACAAAGATAAATGACATAAAACTCTTTATCCAAAGGCACTTCTGATAAACAACTCAATCTGATGGGTATGTTGCTGATGTAATCGAGGGTTATTCCTTTTGTTCAAGTGAACTCAGCTTGCAAACATTTGGTTTCGACTGTTCTTTAAAAGAAAATATCTGCCTTTACGTATCGCGAAATTGGAAGACCTTATAACAGGTGCGCCAATCCTGCAGCGACAATAAGAATTGTAGCTGTGATTATGAATAGGGGGCGGATTTTTAATGAGTTTAGACAATTTTATAAAGGATTTTTAAAAAAGCTCTTAAATTGCTTCATAAATGCTCTAAAAACAAAGAAACATGACGTAAATAAATTGAACAAAACCACTTTGGATGAGTTGTTTGGTATGATACAGAAGCTTCTTTTTTTGTTCAAGTGAGCTCAGCTTGCAAAAATTTGGCTTTGACTGTTTTTTAAAAGAAAATATCTGCCTTTACGTATCGCGAAATTGGCAGACCTTATTTCAGGTGCGCCAACCCTGCAGCGACAATAAGAATTATTGTTGGAATTATGAACAGGGGGCGGATTTTTAATGGGCTAAAGCATTGCTAGAAATGATAAAAAAATGATCTTCATTTGTTTTATAAATGTCCTAAAACAAATAAACATGACGTAAATAAATTGATCAAAACCACTTCAGATGAGTTGTTTGGTATATTACTGAGGCTTCTTTTGTTCATGTGAACTCAGCTTGGAAACATTTGGTTTCCACTCTTCTTTAAAAGAAAATCCCTGCCTTTACTTATCGCGAAATTGGCGGAACTGACAGTGGCGCTGA